AGTCTAATCTTGTATATATCTATAAAGGAAAATCATTCATGTTAAGTCAGTTACATTTGTTTACGAATAAACTAGATTCTCTATCTCTTGTTTCCTTTGTAATCGGACCTGATACCAAGACGTGACATTTTCCGATTACGCCATTCTATACTTATCAGATTCAATATGGAGAAATTTCCTTTGAGATACAGTCGTATGTTTTGGTGATTCGAATTCTAACAATGGTAATGTTTATAATCTGGCAGGTTTTAGATGGCCACGTGTTCCACCTTACTATCAAGGTCGATTTACTAATGGATCAGTTTGGGTAGAAAAATTAGGTATATCTACGTAATTTGATTAATTATGCATAAGGTAGTGCTACTAGTGATAATGATTTAGTAGCAGGTTTTACAGCATTTCAAACTAGTGTATCAAGTGTTCGTCAACAAATAGTTATGTATAAAAAAGTTAGTAATTTAAATAAGATTAATTTTGCTCGTACATTGTATGTCATTTGGGCTGATATCAATGACTATTGTTTTAATACAACTTTGCTTCCAACTATGGTTGTTAAACGTTTAGTGAATGGAATTAATAATTTAATTAGTATAGGTGGCAAACAGTTTCTTATTCTTAACGAACTACGTCTTCCATCATATCCGAGTGATTTTGCTATAGATATAAATGATTATTCCAAATCACTTATACATATGCATAACAGTAATCTATCCAAGTCAATTCAATCACTTCGATCTAATTTTTCATATGTTTCATTGAAATTATTTGATATTGATTCATTTATTACAAATATTCTTATGAACACTTCAGCATATGGAATTAATAGTACCAAAATTTATTGAGATGCGTCAAATGATACTTTAGTTCAATGTCAAATTTCCGATACATATATTTTTTATTGATGAATATTATTTTACTACTCATATACATCAATTAATTGCTGACAGTGCACGTACATTACTTTTAATTTCAAATGGAACAATAAAATCTACTTATTCAACCCTGTTTATTTTATTTTATTTTTTGATATCGGTATATGCATTCTGAAACTATTCTTTCAATTTTATATTGATTAATACTTTAGGATATGTAGGACTTCAATAGATTTTATCATTCAATATGTTGTAAAAAATAAAAAAGGGAAAAACTAATATTTATTTAAATAATAAAGTATATTGAATCATGCCAAGGAGGAAAGCCGGTAACCTGATTGCAATCAAGACAATTATTGACAACCAATAGTTTTCTAATACAGATCTTTTTGGAAAGCGGCCGTTTGATTGCTTTTGTCGACGTTATTATCTTCTGCTGTCGAAGTTAAAACACGAAAGTTACTGCTGGCAGTCAACTAAAATTGATATCGATATACTTGTTACAGCAGATCGATAATGTTCCAAATGTCAAAATTTATGAATACGTTTTATTTTCTACATCTAACAGAGTCATTAAAAAAGTATTGTATAAACATGAGCAGGCAGCTGAGATTGTTAGAAGAAGGATATGAAACGTACAGATCTGTTTCGATCGAGTTATAAAAAAGCTTGAATTGTTGCCATAATTTTCTGCCTTCGAACTACTGTCAACGATCAGACAATATTGTTCGACTAGTAAAATGGAAGAATGCATTCAGACTTGTCTCGATACCTTTTATCTCTATGTCCTCAATCAATTCATCTGTTTGAATGATCGACAATCGGCAGTGATTAAGTGTCGGCGAAGTAACGTCAGTACCGGGGTACTGCCAGGGGGGTAAGTGCTGGCACCCAGCACTGAAAAGTGCTGGACAGGTGCTGAGGTGCTGAGCAGGTGCTGAGGTGCTGAGTAGGTGCTCAGGTGCTGAAAAAGTGCTGAGTAGGTGCTCAGGTGTTGGGTAGGTGCTGAGTAGGTGCTCAGGTGCTGAAGTGCTGAGATGCTAATTGATTTTTTTAGGATACTACATAAACTAAACCACTACATTGTGATTGATTAAGAGCGTTCTCTATCAGATTCATTATTGTACTTCA